TCAGCTGCAAAAAAGATTTCTGTAGGAAACTTTTTAGCAATGAGGAGGTACAATGATTTGTGCATTGTGTTTTAGTTCTGTATTTTTTGCTGCTAAGTGTTGCCGAGATGCTGCCCACCAGCCCCTTTGATACGCTAACGGCTGTTCAGTCAGTTACCGTCCATAGCTCTCCGCGGGTATTGCACTATGCAAGGGAGTTTTCCCTTGAAGTCAAAGAGAGTAATTGCGTGCCTACTGGTGGTGGGATTTGTCTTATTCAACTGGACAACCTAGATGCGGCTGATGCAGTAAATCTTGCAGTCCCGAAGTTCTTGTGGTAGCTGGCTACGGGCAGTGCTGTGGTGGGAATATGTCTTTGCCTGTCTGCTGGCTGCCTGCCCTGTTCATCTGTAGCCGATGACCAAGTATTGTGGAGGGTCCCCTTGAGCTGGTAAGTGCTCGGAGAGGAAGGAATCCATTCTTTAGGTTAAAACGTTTAAATTGAATCAAGGTAATGGAGAATCAGATTTCAGTCTCTCATTGCTTGTAATAGAAAAATCTGCGCGTTGATAGTTCTCCCTAGTCAGGTATCCTTTTTTGTGTCCCCTTTTTGTACATCTGCTGAGCAGATTGAGGTGGGTACCAGTGGTTTGAAAATTGAAAGCCTTCAATTTTCACATAAATTACAGGTCAAATCTGTGTAGTGCGTCACCACCCTTTACAGTAAATCACATGTAAAACTAAGTTATGCCTCATTTAAATGACAAAAGAATTCTTGGACTACATGGTAGCTCTTTCCAGTAGTAGCTGAATAAAAGAAGAAAAACTAATAAATAATTAAGGCAGTATTATGTTTGACCACTTTTTTTTTTAGCATGACTTTTTTCTGTTGTAACAGAAATGCACCTTTCAAAGACAGCTAAAGCACTAATGATAGCTAAGAAGGTCATTCCTAGGAGGTTAAACTGGTTTAATTAGAATTTATGAGAAGGTTACTATAAGAGTGCAGAAAGATGTTAAGGGGTTAACCTATAAGAGATTACATTGTAGTCAGTGTTCTGTTAAAGTTTGAATTAATTTTTCCCATGGGTTTTTCACATTCTAATTTTCAACTAAATGAGACATCTGTTTCAGAAAAGGAAAATTTGCTATGGTTGTCATAGCAACTATCATTCTGTAAGAAAATTATTCCAATGGTTACTTTAGAACAGAAAGATAGAAATTCAGTACATAAAGCAACATCCGATTGCTAGCACAAATTCTGATAATTCAGCTCTTTTTGTATGGTAGATTATTTGACCTGCAAAACTTGTTCATATGTTTTTAACATAAGGTTAATCATGCTGTAAACAAATTCACTTCCAATATATTTTCCCCCTAGAGTCTTATATGTAGACAATCATTATTCTTATCATAATAATAATACCGTTGAATTTTAGTAGTATAGGAGAGGCTCAAACGGTTTGCTTTAAGAAGGTAAGACCTAAATCAAAGTACATTTCCTCACGTGAGCGCTTCACTTCAGAGGTGAAATACACTCATGATGTATGTCTTTAATTGCCAAATACATTTTTCTTGGGTTTTTTTTGAGAACAGCAGATTTTTCTCTTACAGCACATACACAACAGTATTTTCTTTGTAAAATGCAAAATATTATTGAAAAGTAATTTATAAAAAAATTACACTTTTCTGAGCAAGCAGTAACTGGGAATCCAGAAATTCGGTGCTTGATATGAAGACTTTAACTTTGCAAATTTCAGGTTCCATTTAAATGGAAATTTTAGACAAAGTTGTCTTTGCACCGTATCCAGGTCACAGACTTGTTAGTGGGTATTAGAGAAGATTTTTTTTCCCCTACTTGGAAACTTTGATGGCTGTTTTGCAATAAATTTTCAGAAGAAGGGACTTGGGGATTTGTAAAATCCCCATGCGCATATAAAGGTGGTTTTGCTTTGGGGTGGGGGCACTGGAGTGTATGATTTGTCTTTCTTCTCTCAGATGTAAAGCACACCAACATCTTCTGCTGAATCTTTTCTTGGACTTCAGATTTTTTTTTTTCTTTGCCAGAAATATTCCAGACGTTGCTTTCGATCTCAGGATTGTCACAAAAGACAGCATAATGGCAAATCACACAAGTTGTAACATCTCCCCTTCACAAAAGAACAGCTCCAGCATGCATAACTTACCAGCCCCGCGCTCGGGCGGCTACGCGCTGCAGTCACCACAAAGGGAGGGAGGGATGGGGGAAAGTGCTTCTTGTCTTAATAAGCAGATCATGCCTATTCATAAGGGGAAACGGGCTTTTTAAGAAGTGGCCATGTACAGGCTAGTGCTAGGAGAGGCAGGCAGAGACTCTCACAGCTGCATATGCCATTCGTGGTCATTCGGATTTCAGCAACAGGATTAAGCTGACTTCTGGCGAGACCTGTGGCAGGCACGATTATTTCTCTTTATAAATGCTTCATTGTATCCTTAAAATATCCTTAAAATAATTATTCCATATGTTTTTGAGCTTTGGCAAATATTGATCTTTCCCTGTGGTTTCTTTCTCGGGGCGCAGGGCGGCCATGGCCCCTTCTGCTGGGTCTGGCAAACCCACGGGATGCAGGACGGCACCTCGCCTCGCTTCCCACCAGGGACGTGAGCATGGTCCTCTCCCTGCCCCGCAGCACCGGGGCGAGCGATGGGTGGGAGCAGGGGCCTGTATTTACTGAATCTGTCAGTGGCTTTAAAAGCATGATTTACTATGCTGACACTTTGTTTGCCTCCTATTTGCCCTTGCAAATATTTTCTGTCGGTGAGATCTTGCTCCTGGAAAACTTGCTGTGGGCCTAAAGACAATTTGCCAAACGGTTGAATATTTTCATCTTGGTGTAGAAAGATACTTGGCATGTAAGGCGTGGAACGCAATCCCAAGGCAGGGATGGGTGGAGAGGTTAGAAAAAGCCTAACCTCTGTATATTCTTACAAAGTCTCCCACTTCTGTAATATCTGAGCACCTCACAGACTGCAGTTTATTTATTTTCAGGGCGTTCCTGTGAGATAAAAATACTCCCACTCTGTCAATGATGAGCTGAATGTAAAGACAGGCTGATCAAACTCCACAGACTGGGGTTTGGTTCTGCGTGACAGTGTCGCTTAGGAATGTCACTGGTAGCTTACCACAGAATAAGCCAGTAACCAGACCATGAGACCCCAGCAGCAGGAAGGTGAGAAGCCATGTACCTGTGAGCCAAGTCCTGTTCTTCCTATGAGGAAAGCCTGCTAGGAGATGAGCAGGTAGCCAGAAAAGTGTGATTTGAATTGTATGGGTCTCTGCAGAAGGGAGATATCATATTCCTGATACAGGGTTATGTCTTTTTCTCGGCCAGGTGCCCTGGTCTGAGCAACCTGACTCAGAACAAAGTTTCTGCTTCATTGTCACTGCTATTAGCATCTCTTCTTCACACACGTTCTTCACCTCCCTACCTCCCTCATCACAGCTTCTGGAGGCTGGGATGTATTTCTGGGCCCAGTGGCAGATGTACAGAGTTTCACTTTTTTTTTTTTTTTTTTTTTGCTGGGCACCTGGTTATCCAGGGCGCTGTGCGATGAAGAGCTAGGAGATGAGCTCTTAGCCGTGGACTCAGAAAGCCCTTCAGTCGTCTGTCTAGGAAAGTTGAGGCTTTTTTTGTCGGTGGAAGAAAGGCAGGAAACATTCTGCAAAGCCCCCTTCTTCTTCCTTTCCTTGGAGCAGAATTTTCTTTTCTTCCCTTGGGTAAGCCACATCCCTTTATATTTTAGCAAGCATTATTTTTTAAGCTGTGTTCAGTAGACATGTGCTTTACAGCATTCCAAAAGGAAAAGTAGAAAATACATCATCATGAAGATTGCAGACATGCTAATTTTTGAAATGTTAGTCAAGCATCAGTAATGGAAGAGGATGAATAATAGCTTTATGGGCATTTTCTTTTGTCTTTGCCGTACATGATGTAAAGTGGAGTTCAGAGAATTTGTTTGAAAGAATTCTTTCTGTCTTTTGATGCGGTGAGAGAGTGTAAAGCTTTCTTCAACAAAGTAACATCTCAAAGGGAACTCTCGTTGATGTGTATGTATTTATAAACACTAAGGCTGCAATTATCATAAACCTTATTAAATCACAGCAGCCTATTTGTTGTTCTCCAAATATGGATATGGCCAGAACACGTCAGTCAAAAAATTACAAAAAAATTCCAACCTAAAAGTAACCCCTCAATTTTATGACCTAGAATTAGAGCATAGTCAGCAAGACGTAATTTACTACTGTGATATAATTGCTGTGAAATACAGTTTTTTAATCAATGGGATAGCAAGATACGGATAAATTGTGTTCTGACTGGCAGTGTTACAGTCCCGCTGCTCCATGATAAGCTGCTCCGTAAATATGTTTTAAAAAATGTAAATGCCTGTCTGATAAGAAATCCTGAATATGGAAAGTCTTACTTAAAAGCAAGTCAACAGACCAGAGGACAGAAAAAAATGATACGTAAGAAAAGATGCAGTATTCTTGTTCTGATGGGGTACTTCCAATTAAGGAAACCAGCATAGATGATGTCACCAACTTTGGAGCAGGGTCTGTCATTGTGCCAAGGTCTGTCCTTGCCCAGCTGATTATAGATTAAGGGCCAAACATGATGGGAGCCCATGTGAAAGATATATCCGTACCTAGGTATCCGAGACGGGTGTTCTTCCAGATGTTGTGGGAGCTAATCCACACATGGAGATCTTGGTATCCAGCTCTTGTAAGAGTTAATTTTCACCTAGTTAGAGGAATACTGTGAATGTGTTATTGTATGCTGCCTACTGAAAGTGGTAAGGACTGCGCTGATTTGCTACACAAGTTAAATAACGCTGGTTGTGTGGAAAGAGGGTTTTACTCTGCACAGAAAGAAAATGAATGCTATTTGTGTCTCCAGATTCCATACTAGTAGAGAGTCGTCTCCGTATTTTGATAACCAATACATGGAAGTAGCACTGAAGACATTCTCCTCCTCTCTTGGCAGGCAACCTTGGTTTTATGGCTGGGGCTTTAATCTTCCACGAGGCCAAGCACTATTAGAGAAATGGAACCTTATTCCAGATGGAATAGATATTCTTATAACACATGGACCACCTCTCGGTAAGAAAATACTAGTGCTGTGTATGTCAGATGATTATACAGTAACTGATGGCTCGCCTTAGACAATGAGTGCAATCCTGACTTACAAAAGTCAAAAGTAACATCTGTACTGATTTCAGCAGCACCAGGACATCAGCTCAGTTTTACATTTCATGATTACCTGTGCTCAATGGTAGGGAATTAAATAATGGCTTAAAAAATAAAGCCTTAACACAGAAAGCCTTAATGAGCTTTATAAATAAGCAAGGTATAGTTTTCCTATGCCTCTCTCCACTCTGCCACTGGTGAAATTAGTAGATTTAAAGCATGGAGCCTGCTTGAAGAGAAATGCAGGATTGGGATCTTATTTTTTTAGCACTGCCTTTCTCCCTCACTTGCAGTAGCATTCCCCCACCAACAAGTATCCGGAGTCTGTATTTTTCCTCATCGTGCTGACTCAGTCTGTCTTCTGCCTCACAAACCCAACTGCTGCCATTGCTTGCCTGTTCTTTGGACAGCATGGTTAAACTGCCTGTTTTTAGTACAATCTGGCAAGACTAACAGACCAACAAGAAATAGTTTTACATTTGTGTTTTACAAATATTAATATAGATGATAATAAAAGCCAGGAGAGATTTTTTCTTTGTATTCGTAGATAATAGTGAAATTATCTGTGTTACGGAAATAATATAATCACAGAAACTTGGCCAGATTCAGTAAAGGCTTTTAACATGTTTTTCAACGTATTTAACATATAGCAAGCTATATTTAATGCAACTATGTGTTTAATGTAACAAATGGACACGAACGTGAAGCATGTACTTAAGTGTTCTGCTGAGTCTTACTGCGGAGGAGTGCTTTGTGTGAAATGAAGGCAGTTGGTTTCTTTAAACTGTTAGATTCCCCAATTTCCTGAAGCTAAAACCCTCTTGTCTTCCACCCTTTCTTCTCCTCTTTCAGAGCTTGGAGGAGAAACTATCTAAAGGGTTTGTGTTTTGTTGTTCTCTTTAGAAAGACATGTTTGCATTCCACTGCTCACTAATCCTGGGGAAAAGGGCTTCTTTGTGAGCACGGTTTCTCACAGTAAGAGCGTGTGTTTTGATACTTCACCTAAGTGGAGTCTCATGCCGTGCCATAGACTGGTTTTAATGTGGACCTGTATCATAAAAGTGGATGGCAGAAATTAATTGTTTAGACCTTGAGATACCAGCTCCAAACGGTTAGTACTGGGGATAATCCCTCTTAGGATCCAAGGCATGATGCTGGGTCTGTGATGTAGTTTTATTTATAAGTCATATTTGAAACTTTTCCAAAGCTTTTTTAGCACTTTCAAACTCATTTTTTAAAACCAGCTGATCAGCTGTAAAGAAACCCAACCTTCAGCTGATCCAAAGAATATCCCTGTATCTAGCACTTGAAATCCAGTGTTGGAAGGTGGAGAGAGGGGTTCGCACCAACCAGCTTCAGCCACCTTGCTAATTTAGCTGCCAGGCTTCTCCAGGCAGCCTCTGGGATCAGCAGAGGGAGGAGAACCTCTAGAGAGCACTGCAGAGCTGGCACTCAACAGACATGCTTTAATAATAGATTTAATAGTAAATTTAGTAATTGAAAAGTAATTTAATAATGGTACTAATCCTGAGGAAGAGCTGCCCATCTCCACTGACTGTAATGGGATAACGTGAATTCCCCTTGTTTCCATGTCTCAGTATTTGTTCTCTTTTTTTTTAAATTCTTAAGCTTCAACCGTCCTCCAAGGATTTTCTATTTTAAAAGTTCCCGTTTTCTTATTGATGCATTAATAGATGGCTCAGGCACAGAACCCTCTGCCTGAGGGCATCAGCTGTTGGTCCCCCTGACACCCATGGCAACAACTATACGATGCTTCAAAAGAAATTAGCGCTCTGCCTAACTTAAAGAACCTCCTTATTGTGGAGCTCTGTCCACAGACATTTTGGGAGACAGGATCCTCCTTGACCCTCCCAGGCAATTATTTTAACCAGAAAGCTGATTACTGTTGCTCTGATCTTGGACAGCATCACTAGAGCTGTTCCTAATGATCATAAGTAGCAATCAGTGCTCTTGCAAATTCCTCTTTTTTTCTCCAGTGTGGCTGCCTAAATTCTGTCCATCATCCATTTTCTGTGCTGCTTTCTCATTCCCTCACTTCAAAAGAGCATGCATGCTCCTAAATTAATTTATACTACATTATTAGATAGATTTAAAATTGCCTGCATGATTTGGATCTGGAAGCACCATTAAGAGTTAGTGGCATTTGTGTTTCTAAGTCAGTTAGGCACATAGCAAAAATCTGATTTTTTTTTTTTTTTTTTGGTTTTGAGTAGTGCTTTGGGATGAAACCAGGGCAGGGATACACAGGAGGTTCACACAGGATGAGAAAACAAATGTTAAAACAGCTATTATTGACCATTTCATTAGTAAACTGTTTATTATACATAAAGATATTTCATAGCTTCTGAAATAGCTATAGTATTAATGATTATAGGATCAGTGCTAATGCTCATTTCTGTATCAGCATATTTTTGTTACTTTTATGTATAGTATAATTTTTAAAGTCTTTTCCCTGATTTCTAAAGATCTGCATTTATGATTCTTTTCTCTTCAAAAAGTTCACTGTTCTTTTCTTTGTTTTTAATTTAATTTCACCTTTAAGTCTTCATTTGTAGCTGTCTGCTTGATTGTCTATGACAAAGATTTATACTTTCCTGACAGCTGCAGAAACCTGTTTCAAGTAACCAAACATTAAAAAAACCCTAAGATGAACTCTAATTGTTAGCTAGGTGTAATCAATTATTCTTAGTTTGTGTAGTCAGGTGTACATAATAAGCTGCAAACATATGGGAAAGCTTCAGAAGGGTGATAATGCATGTAAACAAAAACATGTTCAACATAAATAATGCTTAATTTAATGGAGAAGTTAATTTTATGGATTTTTGTTTGTGAAGTTTTTGAAGTGGAAATACTTTTGGCTTTATGCTCACCACAGACATTGTGACAATTAACTGTTTCAAATCATTGAAGTAACAGAACCTATGGTTATAACGTGTTTGCTCTGAAAAAAAGCATGACTGGATTCCAGAGGAGTTGCTGGCCTCACTTTGGCATCTTAAATATTTATTATTTCCTACAGTGAATTTTGACCTGCATTGGATACCAAGAGTAGCTGGTAAAATCAGTTACCAGAACTGAGCGTTGCTCTGCTCTGTCTGTAGTACAGTGGGGCTTTCTCTTTGTACGTCCCCCCGACAGGAGCCAAGCAGCATCTTCAAGAGGCGTCTGAACGAATTAGCAGTCCATTGTCAGAACTTCCTCTTTTTGACACTTAGGATGCTGCAGTCCCAACTCATTTCTGAAAACTGGCCTTAGCTCTTTGAGTAACTATGATACAAAGGCAAATTTTTACCATTTTCATAAAATCCCACAGTATACTGAGCCCAGTTTTCAAGCACTGGCATCTAAAGAGGTATTTCTCAATGTGTGAACCTACCCCGAAGCTCTAGCAAATCTGAGAGCTTTTCCAAGAGCTTGAATACCACAGTTCTGGTCTTTTAAGCCAGTTGTTTAGCTGCTGTTCAGCCGTGCTTGACTGGACATCAAAAGTAAACATATGAAAACTAGGTCCAGACTCTATATCTCTCTAGCTAACTGACAATATATTCACGCTATTGCAGCAATCTAAGAGATACAAAGCTATGACAGGCACACAGGGAAAGTACCAGAAGAACTAGAGGAAAACAGAATGATTATATCTTTTAGGTTTCCAAATTTGAGCCTGATGAAAATGGCAGAACAATAGAGAGAAAACAAGATTGGTTATTGCAAGCCCTCTAATGCAACAACATCCTTTTTATACTACTACTTTGAAGGAAACGTGAGACTTCAGTTGGCAGTAAGCATCCCCCTGCAGTATGTTTTTAGACGTAGAAGCAAGTTGGTGTACATTTTGGTCTGTATTCATAAAAAATGCATTTTTATACAAACTTCGTGCAAGTAAATATAGCACTTAAAAACATCTACTGCCGAAGGGCTGAGTTCCTCTTCCTATCTGAGGTCCTCAGATTTAGGCTAGTGGGGCTTGCTGTGTCATGAAGTGCTTAAACCTGTTTGACTTGAGGATGTTGTTTTTAGGCATGCTGTGGGTTCCTCACCTGAGTTCTACTACTGTAAGATTCAATGTGATAACAATATAGTTGTATTATTAGCAACACAGATTCCATTACATCAGTTAAAGTGTTCAATTTTAAAAACTAGATCCCAGGACTAGATTTAAATAGCAAAATGTTGATTTAGCTTCTTTAGAGACTCACTTTGGACATACTGCTCTTTACACCTCACTCAGAGAATGGATAAACCATTGAGTTTTCTCATTAACAGCACTGCAAAAATGCTTTAATTGCAGTGATTGTTTTTTTCCTTGAAAAACGACTGGCAAGAGTTAGTCCTTTTCCTTTGGATGAGCTTTTATGGTTTTCCTCGAGTGTTTTTCTTTCCTTCCGTCCTTCCTTCCTTCCTTCCTTCCCTCCTTCCCTCCTTCCAAGGCAAACACTGTTTTTTCCATGCCAGTTCTTCTGTGGCTGCTTATGAAAAGCCACAAGACATGAAATCTCAGAAACACTGTATAGCAGTACAGCTTTGCAGATAACCCGTCTTCTTTTAAAGCTTTCCTTTCTTTTCCAAAGGTTTTCTAGACTGGGTTCCTAAGAAAATGCAACGGGTAGGATGTGTTGAGCTGCTGAACACAGTCCAGAGACGAATACAGCCAAGGCTTCATGTTTTTGGACATATCCATGAAGGTCAGAATGCATTTCTTTCTATATATATTTAAAAACCACAAACACAGAAGTTGTCTGGTTTAACTGGCATTTTCAAACTTGAATGTTTGAACTGAAGCACTTCTGGAATTCAGATAGTTATTTAGCTGCATATATAGAGATGAAATTGGCTGCTACTCACATTTCAATATTTGTACTTCAGCTTCTCTTTCAGTTTCTGCATCTATAAAACAGGGTGATGCCTCCTTCGTAGAGAGGATTACTGTGAATTTTAAAATAACACAAGTCCGATGTAGTCACAGAAAGTGACTAAATCTTAGGATTGATGGATTGTATTTTCCTCTGCTGAATCTCTGTGACTTAAGATAATTCATGTAAGCACTCTGTGTCTCAGTTTCTGTGTTTGTAAAATGGGTAAGAATGCTTTGGGGGGTGCTTCTAAGGCTTAATCTTCAAGGTTGTACAATAAAGGTCATCTCATCTATGTGTGTATGAAGTTAAAATCAAGAGGGGTGTTACTTGCATAGAAGTTCAAGATATTTATTCATGTATTTATTTGCTCTGGCAGGGGAAGCATTTTGCACCCCGCCAAAACAAAGCGGTTTTCTTGACTGTTTGATTTTTCACTGGAAAAAAATTAGTTCCCTTCACATAAGTCAGTAAATGGTGACAAATATGCTCCACTGAAGTCAGTGACAGTAGGCGTTCATCTCCAGGCAAAGGGAAAGGTAGATGCTGTCTGCTCTAGAGAAGTCTGTCCTGTTCACCTGTCAAGGCAGGAAGACTTAAAGCAGTGCCCCTACCAAAAGAAACCACTGGGCTGTGCAGAAGTGTACCATTGGCATGTAAGCCGGTATTATCAGCTGCTTAGTTCTTGGCAATGTTAACTTACTGGCAGGAAAAGGTGCACCGCAACTGCCAGTTTTCTGTTTCTGGGACTGCTCCAGCCTTCAATGGATATCCGTGGGTCTCACCAGTGTAGAAATGAACAAATGGAAAAAACGGAGTAGCTAGCACTCAGATACTTCTGTTTCTGTGAAGAACTGTTACCCTTCCCAAGAAATCCCACTCTGACTTGCCGCTGGGTGCTTTCACCATGCTGGGTTAGGAGTGGTGAAAGTGTGCTGCTGTAAAATTGGTGGAGAAGGCATTCAGATCGTAATTTTACAGCTCACGGATTAAGTCCGTTCTCCTTATGCGTCTCATCTGCATTGACCTGTTAATGCCTAGTTAATGTCCAAGGTGCTGTTACATCAGAGTAAACAAACAACTCATAGGCAGTATTTTTTCCTAACCCTTTGCTATTATAGCAGTCTTTGAGATTCCGTACGAGAGAGCTGATGAATACAGTTCAAACTCATTGTCTTTTCAGAAATCGTAAGCCAAGTGGGTTGCAGGGGATATAAGCAAACACTTAGCAAGCCATGAAGCTTCAGGCAGGTAAACAAAATCACATCTGCTAAGACCAAGCCCAACTTTGGCTCCCAAGGGAAAAGAATGGCACCTCCACAGAATGGTAAATCTTGTGAATTAATACAGTTGGCACAGTAGGTATCAGAACACAGAAACAAGGTACTCTTCTTGTTAACTACCATAATTTAGAGAAAACAAATGGGGAACTGCATAGCCTGTTTTGCAGTGGGATGCTAAATCTCTGCAGAGGAGAATTCCCATTGCAGACAGCCTGTGCAAACGGAGCTGCTCTTTGTAGAGAGAATGCATGATTTGAACAGATGAGTTCCTCCCCTGACTGAGCATAGCTACATCTGCAGCAGTCATTTACTGAACATCCACGAGCAAGAGATGCTTAGAAGAGATGTTTCTTCCCTATTCCCCCTCTGCACTGCTGTCTCTGCCAAAAAATACCTCTAGACATGGGCTTGCTGCTGATCGACCCATGGAAGTGACAAGCAGCGTGGCAGGGACTCCGGCTAAAATCCTGGTTTGCCCATTACAGCCGGTACTTGGCTGAGGTCACGGCTGAGGAAACTCTGCTGGCAGTAGGGTAGGAGTGAAAACTGTAGCATTAGGAATCTTCCAGCAAAAGGAACGTATTAGCAAGCTGATTCTGTTCTCTCCACACGTGTAGCCGAGGAGACAGAAAGTCCCAGCAGCAATGCTGACTGTCCTCCGTGCAGTTTGTGATTTACACAGAACAATTGTTCTGTGGCAAACAGCAAATGATTTAAAGAAATGTCTGTGACAGGAACCTGACAGAGTTTTCTTCCCTCCCTAGTCCCTAATTACAGCATGGTTTTTCCATGGGGAGTCCAGGAGTCCCTGCATTATTCAGGATATTTTAAGGAACGAAAAACAAAGGAATTTGGCTACTGTTTCTTTGTTTGTAAATTCTGCAACTAACAATGCTTCTATAAGACCCAAAATTGCACTCAGAAAAACTGTAGGATCCTAGGTACCCCGGATTTGAATAGCTGGAACTTGGTGTATGTACAAATACATTTCATTATTAATTACATTAATGGTGAGATTGAATCTTAGTACAAATGCTTTCTACTGGGTGATTTCCCCAAAAGCATGTATTTCTGATTGTGAATGCATTTCTTCATATTGATCTTAGTGTTTCAATGCAAGTTTCCAACATTAAATTTTTACTTTTAGTGTAATCAAGCTTATGTGTTTTCCTAGTCATTCATGAAAAGATTTTTGACAATGGAAAGTGCATCTACTTTCTCCTAACACCTGGACAGCTAAAGGGCTGCTTCTTCACTTTCTGAAACAGCGTTTCACTGTATTTCTACAGGCATTAGAGCTGGAAGTTTGATTTTCTGCAGATTTTGCTCTGGAATTGGTTGGGTTAGGTGTCTAGTCAGACATGAGGTGTAGTTAAAGGTTTTTGGTGAGACATAAAGAAGGGTGTTTTCTCCTGTGGAAATGTTACGGTGTCTTAGGGTGTGAATTCACCTTGTCTGTCAGAGAATGTATGTAGAAAGCCATTTTTTCTCTGCCTGGGCAGGTATTTTAGCGTCTTTCCAGCAAATTTGGTTGAAATTGGTCAAGAAGTTCAAACACATGGGAAGAAGAGGTTCCTACTAGAGAAATCCCGCCCAGGTGCACATGCACACCTACTCCCTTAGTCAAGCAATGCTTTTCCTGTATTGGTTGCTTAAAAGATGCACAACACAAGACAGAAAATGAGATGGAAAGATAAAAATAAGCTTGCTGCACTGATGACTGCAAACCTAAATTATCAGAAGTATGTTTTTTTCAATGCTGTAATTGCCTAAGCTCTATCTTCTCATCCTTTCCAAGACTGAGAAGGCTTTAAGAAAAAAGCTTCACAGAGAAAAATACCTGCATTTCTAAGGAGGTTTAGCTTGCTGGCTGCCAGAGATTATAGCCACCATTTTGCTGTTCTTACACAATTTAAAAGATGGCAAAAAGTTCTGCTGTAGGACAAAGATGGTATTAATTCAGGAGACCTTTATGTTTTGCATGAAGAGAATTTTTAAATTCCTTCTGAGTAATAAATGGGGCACTTACCGTCGTGTGATAAAGGTGAATAATTAAAATTAGAAAAAGAAGATAATAATGAATAATGAGAGTAACCAGAGTTTTTCTTTCTTTGTAGGTTATGGTGTCATGGCTGATGGAACTACTACCTATGTGAATGCATCTGTGTGCACTGTGAATTACCAGCCGCTTAATCCGCCTATAGTTATTGACTTACCTACTCCAAGGAACACATGATTATAATGAGGATTTAAAGTTGTGCCCAACACATTAGCAACTTTATATTGCTGGCTGAGAATCCCAATAGGGAACCATTCAACAAAAAAGCAAAAACCTTCTTCTTTTTTTCCCTGCTAGCTCTTCACAGATGAATTTTGAGTGACAAAAGTGGATGAGGAACAAAGACATTTTGGTGCCAGAAACAGAGTAAAGACTTTAACATTTCACCCTTAAAATATTTGTGAACACAGAAAAGTGAATGCATTCCACGTATCTATATACATATACATATATATATATCAAGTAGGGACTTTTGTATATACCGTACATTATATTGGACTTATTAAAAGAACAATGTCTTTTAAAGGAGTGTTTCTTTAAGAAAGTTTGCAGTTTAAACTTAAGTGTTTAGACTAGGATTTCCTCATTTCAGATGTTTCCCAGTGAGCTCTTGGAAAAAGAAAAATGATGGTAAAGATGTTTTCCCTTAATTAACATGGCAAATATAAAAGATGGTGCACGAATGACCAGTCACAGGAGGAAAGCTATTACTTCAAGTCCTCCAGGTCCAAGTCTTTGCTTCTATTCAAACCCAATGCAATAGAGGCCCTAATTCACTGTACTGAAATGAAGTTTTACTACATCTGGCATTACAGATGGTAAGGGAAATGGTGCATATTGCTGGCATGCTGTAAACAGCTCAACATTCAAGAAGGGAGACTGTTAAGTGCAGTATAAACTCAGGAATTTGTAACCTGGACTCGCCTGTGAAAAAAAGGATGACATTTCCCTTAAAAAAAAAAAAGGAAGAAAAAATATAACTGTGTTTTCGTATGGTAAGGCGATATGTGATTTTATGTAAAAAGCAAAAAAAACCCCACAAAACCCCCACCCAGTGTTCAGTAGTGGTATTTTAAATAAAACCCACAGGGACTATTTGTTTAAAACATGTTAACGGGACATACAGCCAATGATGAGATTACTGGTTTGAACTTGGCCCCAGTCAGAGGTGATTAAATGTCATTGTGATCCTTTTGTCCTTGGGGAACGCTATGGATGTCAAGGGGAAGGGGTCACCTCAGCGTGGCGTTTGGGCATTTGCTTTTGGGTACCTGTGTAGTAGCGTAAGCGCGATGAGTGACGAGTACATGGCAATGGGTACAGAGCAGGGTCGCCTCACAAAACCTGTCGTTGCTGTTTGCCCGCTCATGGACACTGCGAGTTTTCAGCAGAGTTGAAATCCATCTGCCGTGTTGCATGTGACGCCAGGCAATGCAGGGGACGTGTCAGGAGAGAGTTGGGATGGCCAACGCTACTACTGCCCACGCAGCTTTCCTGCAGGTTAACAGGGGGGTTGAAGCTGCTGGGATTTCAGTCCCATCCTAGGCAGAAGCTTGAGAATTGATTATAAACCCACCAAAAAAAAAGTGCTTCAAATGTGCCCTACAAGAAATGCATTTCTGCCTTGAACTAACGAACTTCTCGATGCTTAAAGAGGAGACTTTTTGCATTGATGGAGATAATTTAGCTGCTGTATTCTGAACGTGACCATCCTAAATTTGGGGCTGACAGCATCTAGGCATTAATCTTGTTCACAGACATTGGGAGGTCATCGCGCTACCAATACAGGGTTCTTTGCAGGTCTGTGCATAGCCCACTTGCGCACACACGCATTGGATAATCGAGTATCTTACTTTTTGCCTGATACATGGATGTAAATGTGAGTTTCACATAGCGGCTGCATGTACGTTATACATGTACACAATTTAAAATACCTGTCTCCCAAAGCCAGGCTATGTCAGCCTCAACTCCAGGAGAGGCAGGCAGAAACACTGCGTTTTGCTGCCTTCCCACAGGCAGCAGCGACATTCAAGCCCAGTAACTAATTCCTGCTGTGGACCCACCAGAAACCACCGGAAAACATGGCAAGTCACGGGTCTGTCGTTTCCTTTAAGCTGTTGGGTGACTTGAGGGTCTAAACTAATTTGCTGCTTTTTCTGAAACGAAACCCAAAATGATCAGTGGCGCCTGCAACTGGTTCTTTGGGTAAATGGCTCACAAGCGCGAGCAGTCTGCCATGAATTCAGATGGGGCCGCTTCTGTCAAAACTATTGGTGTAGAAATTGCAGGATCAGCTCCTAAATCAGCAAGGACCGAAATTCATCGTTGACTATGAACTCCTGCCATCATTGGGAAGATGAGCAATAGTGTGTGGTTAGAATAAAAGCGTCTTAGCTAGTCACAATTCAAGCGGTTTGAAACAAACGTGGCAGGAAATTGGCTGTATGTTAAAGAAGTCTGAAATGTTTACATTCGCTTACAGCACTTAAGAGACTAAAATGTTAAAGTGGGGGGAAGAGGTCCTTTTATTAGCCTCTACAAAATTTCTATGTCGACCATAAACTATTCTCTTAAAAATAATTTTTCCTAAGGTATCTTCAAAATACTGTGTATTTTTATGTGGAAAGGGTACGAAAGCAGCTGTTCCTTCAAAATATCATTTAAAGTACTTGAGGTATGAAAGCTTAAAGGTTATTTAATCATTTTGGCATAACTTGATTGTTGTTGTAATTTTTGGTCAAGCATGTTAGACAAATAAAGTCTTAAAAAAAACCCAAACCAATGACAAAAAATAAGGCCTCTTTATATCCACCTCACGCATTCAGCTCCATGTGGGAAAGGCTGCCGATCTCCAGGTGCGGGAGCCAGCCTGTGGGACATTAAAGTTGTTACGGCGACGGGCTGCGGATGAGCTTGGGGGGCAGCTGGCAGAGGGGCTGGGGACGATGGGCAGAGGGTGCCCTGCTCCGTCTGCCAGCTTCTGCAGAAGGTAGCAGGTTGGAAGTTGGAGTTGCAGAGGGGAAAATGGCAAGCACTTCCTCGAACTGATGGATTTTGGGGGGGGGGGAATACACCAGATGTGGCTGTGAGGCAGGGAAAAGCTAACGTGAGGGAGTGCTGCAAGGGAGCTGTGGAGCAGTCGGGAACTGGGATGCGGTCCTTTGGGAATGGGCGGCAGTCGGGGGAAGGATGGTTCGTGCTCTGAGTTGAGTGTAAGGACACGGACCTCACAGGGAGGGAGATTAGGGCAAGGTGATTATTATTTTTAACTTTGTGGGCACATTCAAGGCTGGACTTTGCTCAAATCTGATCTACTTCAGATTAAGGAAGCCACAAAAAGGAAGGTTTCCACAAACGCAGTTTCGCAATTGGCTCTATTTAAATTCAGGAATGCTCTCAAGTCATTTCCCACCCCACTTTCCCATTGCTGACCTCCGCTGATGTTTATCCAGGTAGCATCGCTCCTGAAGGTGTGCTGATGTGTATCACTAATACATGTGTTCCCATCACTAGGCAGAATTGTTACCAAGATTAATTTCAGTTCATTTCGATGACAAATAGGGGAGATACCACTGCATGTCAATAAAAAAAAAAAAAAAATTTTTTTACCTCCCTCAGTCACATATGGCTGAGGGTGTGAAATATTCCTTGGCTGCAAGGACTTGGCACTTACCTTTTCCCAGGCAGCCCCCACCCACTGCAGCTGCACCCCAGCCTGGGGAACTGGCTTCAGGCTTTCAGATGATGCTATTTGGTAGCCCCTGAAGCCAGAGACTCCAAAACTGCAGTGGTCTTCAAGGAGGTCACTGCAGCGAGCGAGGCTGGTGGCAGCAGGATGCCAGGCTGGCCCTGCTGGGTGCTCCACCGGCGAGGCGGCTGCGGGGAGGGAAGGTGAAGCCCCCCGTCTCTGGGTGATGCAGGGGGAGAGAGCTGGTGGGAAGGTGCTCTGGCCTTGCTGCAGGAGGGAGCCAGAGGGAATAAGAAGTTGTCTTCTCCAGTTGCTGATTGCTGCCAATAGCCATTGTAAATGCTTCAGAGGAAGAAGGAACAAGCATTCCTCAAAAGGCAATTTTTGGAATAATCTGCCCATGGGGATCTTTGCCCCCCTCCCACTTACTCTTGTTTGTATGAGAATGTCGCTCTTAAAAACCCATATTATTGCTTACTGCTAATGTAACTCACATATAGCAAATATAACAGCAAATGTTCTTTTCTTTCAGGTACATTCCTGTCCCTTTCTTGCAAGTCTCTCTGCATCTGTGATTTTAGCGATATTTTGGAACAGTGAGCTCCCCGGGTGACTATGCACAGTGCATTAGAGCAACAGTATTTCGCTTATCCTTATACGTGTGCTGCCATTCGGGTTTATTGACTATCCCTTTGTTCTCTTTTTATGTGAAAAGTGTAAATAGGAGTACTTATATGTACCTTCTTTGTGCTATTCGTTATTTTGTATACTGCCATTATGTTGCTTTTTACTCACTTCATCTAGAAATTAAAATAATTTCAATTCTAGCTAGACCCTATTACTAACCCTCCTACTTTCCCATCTCGGAAACGCTCCTCTCCTCTCTTTTTGATGTGTCCTTTGGGAGTTGGTGAGAGGCAGTGATGCCAGAAGAGTACCTCCTCTTCCTTCCTATCTGAGCATTGGGACACGCTTCCGACTTTCTCTCCTGATCTTTACCCAATTCTGTTCTTCATTCGTTTAGGATTTTGGTAATAATGTACATTTGCAACCCCCAGTGGAGGATTGTGGCGAGCTGCCCATGGCTCTACCTGCGTTTTCTCTTAAAGAGGTGACAGATGATCTGGACTTCCCTGGTTTTCACAAACATCACCCCCTTCTTCCCAGGGAGCCCTGCCCAAGCTACATCCAGAGGAGGATCCTTTTCCCCCCTCGCTGTCCTGTTCCCCGGCTTTGGTGGTGCCCTTGGTGAGCCTCGTCACCCCTGGTCGGGTTTGCTGTAGGGGGCACCTCATCTGCCATGTGGGGTGAGCAGCCCCAGGACTTGGGGGTGCTGCTGGGTGAGGTACGGAGCCGTGTGATGTTTACCCAGTCCTCATCCTGCTTTTGGGGTTTTTGTTTCTTGGCTAGTGCCTAACCCATGACCCTTCTTTGCCTCTCCAGAATAGCTCTTTCACAAAGGCCTTTATCAAAACCTTTGCAAGTGTCCACAGCAATTATAACAGAGAGATCTCTTCTTGCAGGACTTTGATGTACCAAAAGCTTTCAAATAGATTAAAGGAACAGGCTTTTCTCTTCCACAAACCGGTTGGCTTTGTTTTCTCCCCTGCCCAGTGAAGTGCATTCCCCCTCTAGAGCACGATGAGCTAAAACCGAGCAGAGTAATTAACCTCACTACTTGCCACCAGGCCAGTGCAAAACATGCCCTCCTCACGCTCGTGCTGTTTGCTCTGATTCAGTGCAATCCGGGCCCGGTTAGCGGACAAATCGCTTCCCACCGCTGCAGAAAAGGCCGTTTGCTCGCCTAGAGCGAACTTGGTAGCGCGGCTGCTTCTCTCCTGGTTTTGCCTGGGGAGCACTGCTGCACCGTGAGGTTGTGCTGCCGGCTGGCAGGGAGCTGCAGAAGACAGGGGGACAGTCGTAGGAAATGATGACCCAGATAGGTTTGCCATTTCACTTACTCTCATTACATTTTTCTTTTAATGCTTTCTGCTTTCTGGACGGGATGAGCAGCTTGGCCAGGGCCAGATGGGAAAATGCTGGATGCTATAAACACGGTGCAATGGCTTATGGTAGCATTAAACTGCAAAATCAGGGTAAGGAAAATGCTGTACCCTGCCAGCTGAGCCATGCAATGCCCAGCAAAGGCTGAGGAGAGGCGAAGGTGACATTGAAGCACCTTCCCACCAGACCAGCCCTAGCTCCCCATTCCCCACCACAATTTGAGCCCACCCATGGTCTCACTGTGGGTCCGGGCTGGACGCCGGGGCTGGCCCCCTCCCTGATGAGGGCCCCATGGGAATATTAGAGGTTCTTGGGGTTGGTGCTACGAA